CTCATATTCTCTAATATACACAAATATATTCTAACAACATTATCTCTTGTTCTGATCTTAACTTTAAGATATTACACTAGAGCTAATTGAAATATATACTATAATTTGAATTGTAAATGTGTTTTTATATTGCACATAGGATGTACGTGTCTATATATAGACACATGTATACATATCAGATTAATAATTATTATACTGCTCATAAAGTTTGTTTGAGAAAAACTTATTCTTACTCACTATCATGCGAATATGGAACACACATTATTGATATATTCATTCTACGACATACCATAGGCGGCAATAATAATATGGCACATTTAATGAGAAAAAAAATTCAAATTGTGCAACAATCTGTTAATATATTTTTTTTTAAATCTGTTAATATACGTTAAAAAATCTCGTTATATAAAAATTAAATACAAAATTTCACTAGTCGCCCTATGATTATCATATTCTATAACATTTAATGAGCAGAATCTAGAAGATTTCTTAAGCACTTAATAATATTATCAAAGATAATCTATCATTGTGTTTCAGCATCATGCAATATAACAGAAACATTGTAAGGTTTTAAAGTTCGTTAAACCAAGAATGACAATAAAAGATGTTTTTTTGAACTCGTGTAAGTCTGCAAATCGTTTGAAACACATGCAGAGAAAATAGGGGAGAACGAAGAAGAGTATATTCGTTCTGCATCTCAAGAAAATTAGCAGTCAGGGATACAGTTTTATCGCATGAAACGTTCCACGAATTCATCTACCTGATTGTTCCTCAATAAAAGAATCATACGTACTCTAAGTAGCTCGTCGAGATACTTTTTTCATACCTGCTTGTCGAGAGTGGCTTGTAAATCTATTACGCGTGCCGCAGAATCCTGGTCCACAGGATCGAGACTGCCATTGCTCAATCTACTTTCGATCTCTGTTGACTTCTCCGTACCTAGCTTTTGTATCGACTGTTGTTGCTGTTGTTGTTGTTGTTGTTGTTGTTCCGGTTGTTGCTGCTGTTCCTGCTGGCCTGCTGCCTGCTCAGTCTCATTCTGCCCGATCATAACACTACATTCAGAATGCCTCGCTCGCATTGCTTGTCCTGCATCGCCGCGCAATTCCCAACAACTATATATCTATACAGCTACGCGATTAAACTACTACCGTGCACGCTATTGCGAATACATTCTTAATATGGATGCAACGATTGAGATGAATAGCAAACAGATGATCAGTTTATCGGTACAGATTTGAACACTGTTCAAGGATGACGTTGCATGATTTCCTGGTTGACACATAAAGCGTCATGATTTGAAACGAATTGATTGGAAATTCTTATAGAAAAGAGAAGTTGAATGAACCGTGGAATAAAATGACTGACAGTAATTATTAATTAATTCGAATTATGACATGTGAGAATCATTTGTGATTAAATGTCTCTAAGATGACATAGAATATACTCTTTAATCGTTAAATATGAGCCAAGGGCTGAAATCTGTGACCAATAACTTCGAAAATCGATCGATATCTAACGCCAAGATTAGAAGCGTATCACAGATAGAGAAAAAGAGAACAAGAGGATCCGATGACGCAGGAAACGAACTTTATCGCTCTATGTAAAATGGTGTGACTAAGTGAGATTCCAAAACCATGGACATGCAAAGTGAAAAGATCATATAAATGCAATTCACGACGCTCAAACACCTTTCTTCGTATATGCATGATGAATGTGATTGTGAAGTATGAAGGAGCAGTGTATGTGAAATATTTGTGAAATGCATTATGCACAGGTGTGCAACAACTTGAAGGAATTTCTTAGCTACCTTGTTCTGTTGCTGACCATCCTCTGTCTGTCCATTCTCCTTAGGCCTATCTTCTACATTTTTAGGTGCATGCCCACTTAATTTATATTGCTGGAGCTACAAATTTTTATCGAAATTATTAACGTTGTAATTGTAACATGATTATTAAACGATTCAATAATTATTATTAAAGATTACATAAAATTAGTTGAAACGGTACCTCTTCTTTGGTAATAACTAACTCTTCTTCCAAACTGGTGTTTCTTTCAAGTGCAACTCGTAATCGTTCGCGCACCTGAAAATTAGTTATCATTAAGAAATCTATTCTTTATTATTTTATTTTCAATTGTTATATCTTTCATTATTGTATTGGAACTTTATCGTATATTCATTCTCACGAACTGTTGATTTAACAGAAATTTATAATTCATCACTTCTCTATCTGGTTTTGAAAAAAAAAAAAAAAAAAAAAAAAAAATACAATTTCATGAGGAAATCATAATTTTCTGCACACTCCCTCAAGGTTGCCAACGTGTCAATGTCGTCAAACAATAGATCTGAAAGTTCTTACTTTCTCGTCCAAAGCCTTGTGGTGCTCGAACAGACTTTTTAGAGCTTTGAGCACTTCAACTTCGGACGATACTCCAGATTGTGCAGCCGCTTGCCTCTTCACTACAGTCATCCTAAGCGATCGTTCATGTCGGGAAACCAGACATTCCAGATGCTCGAGCAGAAGCTGTGGAAAGCAATAGAATCGTCTTGGCGAGCAATGTCGTAGGATACAAGTACCGGCTTCAATCTATAAGATGCATTAGTGGTCTGTTCTACGTACACGAGTATTATTTCTCTCTGCTTTTAACTCCGATATTTCTTCTTCTTTCTCTAGGATACTTTCGCGGGCTGTTGCAAGCTCCTTCGTTAACTGAGAGAAATCCTACAATTAAAAAATGCATTTCGTTTATATCACAAGTCACAGATACCAGTCGGATGATATTAAATAATAAAATATAGAAATACTTTAAGAAATTAATAAGATTAATGAGATCGGAAAATAATTTATTCTTTTAATAATTTTTATATTCTTTTCTTTCCTTTTTATTAGGAATCATATTATGCCCGCTTTTGTATATTATTCGCTCAGACTTTCCATATATATATTGGGAATTACAATTTTCTTCTTCTAAATGAAATTCAATACTGAATTAATTTATTTACAATTACAATTTATATATATATATATGATATATATATATATATATTGTAATTGTAAATAAATTAATTCAGTATTGAATTTCATTTAAAAGAAGAAAATTGTAATTATACCTTTTTACCAATACCTTTTTACAACTTTGTACTATTATAAAATTAAAAAAAGAACAATGGATACTTTTAATTCTTGAATTATAATCCACCGTTGTTTTATCATTTTTGTACGATATTGGGTTAGTATAGATACATTCATATACGTACATATAATAATAGATATAGATTAAACACCGCCCTCGGCGATCAAAATCCGTTTAATCATAATTTTATATTAAAATATGACATCGAAAGAAATTTTTAAGTTCATTTCGCCTAAGTAATTCAACAAGATGAAAAATAAGAAAAGATAAATATTTGATTTTGTTTGTAGCATGGATGGAAGAGAAGAGTGTTTTCAAGTGAAAATTTATGCGAAAAAAATCTTGCGTCGTTTCAAGTTTTGGAGAGATAACGATAATCAAAATGATCTAGAATCAGTATCAGCGGGAAGCTTGAAGAGAAACTGCACTTTCACCTTTTTCATTCAAACGCGTTTTTTTATTCACGCCCTCGAACGTGCCACTTCCGCTCGACAGTATAATGTTAAATCTTTATTTATAAATGCTACTAAGATCGATATGGCCTTCCCCGTTGAAACAACATCGACACTCGCTTTACACTTTAAAGGAACTTCATCTAAATTTACGTCGCTCCTGTTTGTCCTCGCTCCTGCTTATTACTTAATATTTTCAACAATTATTTTTTTTATACGCAAAAGAAATTCTTAAACTTAAACTTAAACTTTAAATGTATATTGGACCTCTGTGTCACATTTAATACAACTTATTTTATTAATATTTATAATATATGCGTATTATGACAAGAGTACATTAACACGTTATGCAAGTGTTACACAAGTTATTATGCAAGCGCAACACAACGAAATTGGTTTTTCTAAATTTCTACAACTTTCTAATGTAACATTTCCAGAAGTTGTCAGCTTCTAAAGTCTCTTCGTATCACCTCGAGTTTTTTTTTTTTTTTTTT